ATAGAAACATGCATACGAGTAGCAAATATATCGTCAGCAATTTAAGCTTCCTCTTCCGACTGCTAGTCAATTTACCTCCTCAGTCTACTAGACCATCATTCTGCCAACTTTACAGAGGTAGGGGTGTACGCCCAAAATTATGATCAATGCTAGATCTGCAAATTCAACAATAAATTTATTAAAGAAATAATATGAAACACGGAATTTAAAAATCTTTCATGTTAAGCTTTGACCTCTAAGTGTGACATTGACCTTGGAGGTAGGGGTGCAGGCCCAAAATTATGATCAATGCTAGATCTGCAAATGCAACAATAAATTTATTAAAGAAATAAAATGAAACACGGAATTTAAAAATCTATCATGTTAAGCTTTGACCTCTAAGTATGACCTTGACCTTGGAGGTATGGGTGCATGTATTGTGCATGACATATCGTCTTATTATTGTGACTATTTGTGCCAAGTATTTTCAAAATCCCGTGAACAAAGAAGAAGTTATAAATCGGACAAAAAATATACCCTATAACAGACTATGTTAATCTTTGACCTCTAAGTGTGACCTTGGAGGTAGGGTCCCATGTTTTGGCATGACATATCGTCTTATTATTGTGATTATTTGTGCCAAGTATTTTTTAAAAATCCCTTGATCTATGTAGAAGTTATGGACGAGACACAAAATATACCACATAACAGACTCTGTTAACCTTTGACCTCTATGAGTGACATTGACCTTAGACGTAGGGGTGCAGGTGTTGTACTTGACATATTTTCTTATAATTATGACTATTTGTGCCAAGTTATTACTATGAAGAAGTTCTAGATCGGACACAAAATATACCCTAAAAGTAAGGATGTTTTGCGCATAACACATTATTATAGTGACTATTTGTGCCAAGTATTTTCAAAATCCTTTGATCTATGAAAAAGTTATGGACCGGACACAAAATATACCCTATAACAGACTACGTTAATCTTTGACCTCCAAGTGTGACCTTGACCTTGGAAGTAGGTGACCGGTTGTTACACATAACACATCATCTCATTATTGAGAACAATTGTGGCAAGTATTTACAAAATCCCTCCAAAATTAAGAAAGTTGTAGACCGGACACGACATATACCCTCAAATAGACAATGTTGACCTTGAATGAGCAAGTGCGATCTTGACCCTGGAGGTAAGGGTCTGGTTGTTGCGCATGATACATCGTCTTATTATAACAAACATTTGTGCCAAGTTGTGGATCGGACATAAAGTGTGACGGAGGGACAGACTGATGGACGGACGTTCTAACGGGACAGTAATAATGTGGCTACTGTATTGCTCTCTCTATCGTTCTTTTTAGAAAATAGCCACATAAAAGCATTACGGAATGAATGACATCAAAGAGAAAGAACACTTACCTATTGTCCCTCTAACCACATTATTACTGTCCCGTGAGAGCGGAAAGACAGACGGACGGACATAGCCTATTTCTATATCCCCCTTTTTTCTTCGAAAAGGCGGGGGACAATAAAATCACTCGCTTTCAAACAGACATAATCGTTTTGAGTAGGCAGAATTAATTTAATTCATATAATACAACAATAAAACTTGAGTTCAACATAAAATCACATCTTGCGACATTTAACGGTAGTGTTGCGACATTTAACGAAAAGGGAAATTCGTGCGACATTTAACGTTAACATTGCGACATTTAATGGCAAATGATTTTGCGACATTTAACGGCGGTTGCGACATTTATCGGAAATGGTGCGACATTTAGCGGAAATGGTGCGACATATAATGGCGCCACAATGTTAATTACTGCTTGGATTGTAAATAGTTTTACCTTTCTTAAAATCTTAGTACGTTAACTTAAGGTTAATTTTATTAATTTTCTTGGTCATTTTAAGGCATGCAGCTTGAAGTGTTGTTTTTAATATCCATTTCCTTTTAATCGGTCTGTATTTACAAAGTTTTCTTCAATAATATCCCTTTTTTGTCTAAAAACGTATTTAATCACGCTCTGCTACCAATTTAATGTCACTTTAAACAACTATTGTAATTTGAAAAAAATCAAGTTCATATTCTATTTTCATTATCTAATATGTTATTTATAAAATATGTAAATGAAATGTTTTTATGATCTATAATAGATTCCGTAACACATTTTTAAAGTATACTAACCTATATATTATTCCGCAATCAGGGCTAATTTTGCATATTCTGACTATTTCGGTAACTTTCGTACACTATAAGTGCCGTTTACAAGTCTTTAATTATTTGACAGTATTTTACTTTTAATACATTTTTTAAATTTTCATGAAAATATGCATGAATCTGGAGGGATGCTGCTCCAAAAATTTCGATTTTTTGTTACAAGACATGTTTGATGTACATTTAAGTCTTGATTACACCACTCAACAATAACAAAACATAGTGGTCAATTTTCTTTTATACAAAACAAACGTATTTCACTCTGGATCTAACATCTTATCACTTATCACATGAAATATAAAAACCTCATAAAAATCATAAATGACTGTATTGACACGTTTCTCTTCGGAAACCGACAATTTCCGAGGAAAGGTCACCGGATTTTCAAAAGTCCTAGATTATTGTTGCCAAACAATACATGCGTAAAATGACGTCACGGAAATGAGTATGTAATTAATACAATAGTCATCTAGTAGTTCCGGCTTCTTAAGTTGTTTGCTGACTATTGTTTTTGTTATTATAAACATACTCGACAATGTTATCTTCATATGAACATCCTAAAACGAGTACATGGCCTGTGACGGATACCGTGTCATCTAAAACAACATAGGCTTGACAAATTTTATAGTTTTGATCTTAATCAGTGCAGTCTAAATAAAAAGAAACAGCACCCAAAAAAAAAAAAAAAAAAAAGAAAGAAAGCGTACCCTGACCTCTAAATGTTATACATTGTATTTAGCTTTTAAATTATCATTTTGTTGAATTTGATTTATATCGGAATTGACAACTAAAAAGTTATTTAAATTTTGGGACGTTAAACCTGATTGAGAGATACCAGCAAATGAACAACAATCTAGGGACATGAAATATGAGCAAACTTTACACACAACTATATATATGTATATTTTTTATGAAGTTATTTTATTTCTGTGCAAATACACTTTTTGTCTATATAGTCGGAGCAGTATATAGTCAGAGCAGACTGAAATACTTTTTAATCAGTTCAATGTAAAAAAAGAGACTAAGAAAGCATCTACTACAATGATAAAATTCATTTGAAATATATCTATAGCAAAACCCTCATGTTTTATAAATTTAATAATAGCAGTTTAAATTTGTTGACTTTTTCTTTGAGACTGTCAGGGTGTGAAATAACTCGCGCGATGTTTTCGTTCTGTGCACATGTGGATCTTTTTCGAGACCAAAAAGTAAAACTTCTCCGCTGCGTTTCAGTGTAGACCTAAAGCTACAGTCTCACTTACATCCCGGCAGAGTCCCGGTAGACGTCCGGGGTGATCAGGGAACGACCGGGGTACAACCGGGAACAACCGGGGTACATCCGTAACTCTGCCAGCAACGTCCTGGATGATCCGGGATGATCCGGGAACATCCGGCATTCGACCCCGGATGGAATAAAATATTTAACATCACCGGGGTGGTCAAGGATGATCCGGGAAGGTATAGCTTTGCCGACTTCATCCTTAGCCCTGCCGGGACGACCGGGGTTATACCGGGAAAGCACCGGGGTATGTTATAGCCGGTAGAGCTACGTTAGAGCTGCGGTAGAGCCCCGGTATATGCCGGCAGAGCCCCGGTAACTACAGGCAGAGCCCCGGAGGATTAAGGTAGAGCTACGGTTGATCCCGGTAGAGCCCCGGCAAAGCCCGGATCATTTCAAAAGAATAACGACAATATGCGATGATTGCACTTGTTTGTATTTAAAGTCTTCCCATTTCCCTTCTAACCAGTATGGCATAAGGACTTTTCAGAAAATCATCATGAATTACTTTTCTGGAACAATAGATAATATATTAAATAAAAATTATGTATCAATGTTATCATTTCCGGGGCTCTGCCTGGGTCAACCGGCTCTTCCGGCGTCATTATTATTATTATTATTATTATTATATACCACATTTCTATAGCACTCTTTTCATAAATAATAAATGTTCAAGAGTGCTTTACATAAATCCGATAAAACATAATCATATATATAAGAGATAATGTACAACAATAATTAAGTAAACCTATTAAACAATAATGATAATCTAAAACCAGTAAAGGATGGTAAGAAATACAGACACATTTAGTTTAAAATCAAGGCACACATGCGGGAACGACCGGGGAAGCACCGGCATGAACCAAAGCTTCACCTGGGCTCTGTCTAGATGATCCGGAGCGCATCCTGGGTGGTTAGTAGGGAACTACCGTAGTGCTGCCGGGGTAAGTGTAACAATAATTTCATCCCGGATCGTGCCGGATCATTCCGGTAACTTACCGGGATGGCCCTGGACTCTGCCGGGAGTAAGTGAGACCGAGGCTAAAGTCTTAGGACATAAAACCATCTAGAGGATTTACTTAAACATTTTTATCTTCAGTCAAAAACAGCAGACTATAAATAATTATATACTCCTGAGAAAAAGTTTAGAACTACAATGACAGAGCCTTTAATTCACAATTCGTAAATGCCCATTAGTATTGCTATTCAGAAATTAAGTCAAAAGTCAGAGGTCAAAAGTTAGGAAGATGTTGAAACAGTTAAGACGAAGAAGGGCTTATATAATTATCTTTTTATGTTAAAATACTTATGCTGAACGACTCTGCTCTTAAATTTTTTTTGTGCCGTAATGATCAGTTCAAATGACTTGAATCTGATGTTGACCCTTAAGAAAACATTATTTCAGTTTAGAAAATAATAAAAATCTATCGCTGCCAAAAAAAAAAAAAAAAAATCTATGTACAGTCTGCAATGATAAAACTTATTCCAGTGTCATTGTTTATATAAACAAATGATTTTAATAGATTGCAAGAAAAACCAAACATTTTATTACCATTGTCACAAACAGAAATTAATCTATTTCCGGTTAAGTGTTATCAAGGATGTTACTGTCCATTTTGCAACACTAGATCGGAAGCTGTTAGCTGGTGAAAATCATGATGGATGCTGAAAATAAAGGTATGTACTCTATAAGATACTTTATTTTTAGTCTAACCTCTATAAATTAAATTCAGTATGATTTTGCCATTTCACAAAATTGGAAATTCTAAAAAAAATAATAAATAATTCGACAAACAAATAAAAATATTAAAACCTTATAAGTGCCCAGAGTGTTAAAATTAATTAAAATTGTAACAATTATTTTTTAAAAGGATACGATCAAGGACCACCGCCAGGATATAACCAGGGACAACCGGCCGGTGGATATCAAGGACAACCGACCGGTGGATATCAAGGACAACCTGGTTACGGCCAACCACCGGCCACAGTGGTATGGATACGTTTATATATAATATAATAATAATAAATATTATATAAAACTATATTATGCTGCAGGATAAACGAATCTATGTATTGTCCAGAAATATATATGAGCCGCGTCACGACAAAACTAACACAGTGTATTTGCGACGAGCATGGATCAAGACCAGCCTGCGCATCCGCGCAGTCTGATCAGGATCCATACTGTTCATTTACATACTCTGTAACAAGTAGGGAAACTGATAGCGAACTGCATGGATCCTGATAAGACTTTGCGGATGCGCAGGCTGGTCTGGATCCATGCTGGTCGCAAATGCATTATGTTGGTTTTGTCATGGCACATCTCATATTGTTTGTTAGCAACCAGATTACTTCAATGTTTCTGCGTTATTTTCATACGAGTGTGTTATATACATGCGTACACATTTCACATGGTCCCCGACACTGGGACATTTCGGTTGATTTACGAGTATTTTGTTCTTTTAAAGGAACTCCGCTGTGGTTTAAAGGAACTCCGCTGAGGATTTTTGACATGACAGGACAAAAATAATTTTCGACACTAATATTCTATGTGATGAAGGTCAAGACAATAACTTGTTACCAAAGTTTTCGTTCACAACATTGTTTTTCGAGAATGATTTTCTAATCAAAAATTGAAATGCGTTGCATCGCTTTTCACTAAAATCGTGCTAAAACAGCTTGAATCATTACGAGTATATTTCTTAAATCTCTTTTGCATATCTTTCTCTTTTAAGAGCCTAAGTTTATTTATGTAAGAAATTGAAATTTCATGTTTAAAGGATTTTAGACATCAGAGGAGTTCCTTTAATACCGTACAAATCAAGTGTGTTGAAAGATAATTGAGCCGCGTCACGACAAAATCAACATAGTGCAATTGCGATCAGCATGGATCCAGACCAGCCTGCGCATCCGCGCAGTCTGATCAGGATCCATGCTGTTCGCTATCAGTTTCTCTTTACTTGTAATCGAGTTGGTAAGCGAACAGCATGGATCCTGATCAGACTCCGCGGATGCTGATTCTCATATCTCTTCCTAAATTGTATATACATGTATCATCAACAAATTCTTAAAGATTTTGCAAACAATATAAGAATTATATTCAATCAGAAAGAAAAAAAAATCTAGTAATATAATTTTTCAAATTGTGCAGGCCAACTATTTACAGTACCAATTATTCTAATGTATATTATACATGTACTTTTATTGACATTTTTCTTGTGTATGACAAAACATAAAAACAAAATTTAATTCGACAAAAATTTAAGTACGTTTAATTTAATATGTAAACTAGAATATTTTTTTTCTTTTTTTACAATGAACAAATTAGTTATTATCAGGCTATAATAAAATGACATATTTATAGCTATCGTATTGATAGAACAGCTATGAATTTGGACTTGCTATGTTATATTAAATTATCGCATGGCTGTGAGCTTTTCCTTTGTTCTTTGCCAACCCATTATACTCAGTACACTTCAATGAGCATTTCAAAACTGTATTGATATATAACAGTACAGTTTTTTCATTGATTCATATAGGAAAAAAACTGTACTGTTATATATCGGTCTAGTTTTTTTCGCACCTTGTATATATCAATACAGTTTTTTCATAGAGGCTCCAATGGGGCAGTGGTAACGACCATTCCCAGTAGCAAAAAAACCCATAAGATAATAAAAAATGAAATCAATAAAATTAAATAAAATAAATATATAAATACAATGAAAAATATAAACAAAGATAATTAATGAAATGAAAAAAGCCCTTTAATCTTAAATCAATCTTGGTAACAGTATACAATCCGCCTCTTATATTGGATGTCTTTTGTATATTTTTTTTGCGGCAGCGAAAACAACTTGAAAAACTGCCTTATGATAAATAACTGTAATGTAGCTAACGATTAATTTATTTATTTGTTTCTATACAAAAAAGAAAACAATATGCCATTGCGATAAAACAGTTATAGTATATGAAACGAGTTAGTTACGGGGGTATAACACTGGCTGGGGCGACATCTCGGGATGTTTCTGCAAAAAAATGTCTCGGCCTAACGGCCTCGCCATTTTTTAGCAGAAACACCCCTTGATGTCGCCCCAGCCAGTGTTATACCCTCGTAACTAACTCGTTTCATATACTATAACTATTACTTAAATCATGTATATTTAAATCAGAATAGGGTTAATCCGAGGACAAAATCGCATTTATTTTGATCTGGGTGTATTGCTCAATTGAATAAGACTTTATTGTCTTTTGAAACTATAATCAATAAAGTATTGGTCATTTATATATTGGCACGGAAACAAATACTTCATAAAACTGCATACTTGATAATAGCGCATAAACAAGAGTATAGGACTTCCTTCCACTGTCGTATTTATATTTTAATGGGTACATGTATATACCTGGATGTACATTTGAGTTGTTTACATTACATTTGTCAGAATACACAAAGAACTGCACGTTACGTTAATGAAAAGAGCCGCGCCATGACAAAACGTTTGCGACCAGCATGGATCCAGACCAGCCTGCGCATCCGCGCAGTCTTATCAGGATCCACGCTGTTCGCTTACAAACCCTATTCAAAGCAGATAAACTGAGAGCGAACATCATGGATCCTGATCAGACTGCGCGGATGCGCAGGCTGGTCTGGATCCATGCTGGTTGCAAACGCATTACGTTGGTTTTGTCGTGACGTGGCTCAAATAATGATACGTTGTATACAATCACATTCATACGTCAACAAAGAGAGCATTGTTTCTAGATCAAGACTGAAACAAGTCTACCATTTGGCTCTCCTGTCTCAAAATAGAATATAAAAATTGGTATGATGTAAGATGCAAATAAAAGTACCAGGAACATCCATATTTTTTCAGGTCGTCACCACTCAGCCGGTTGCTGGTGTCGTCACGGTTGGTACACGGCCACCAGACTACCTGATACCGTCCATTCTTGCATGTTTATGTTGTTTCTGGCCCACTGGAATCTTTGCCATCTATTACGCTTTGAGGGTAAGTCATTGTTCATCATTTTTGCTAGACATTTTATACTTTTTAAATAAGATAGCAAAAGTAACAAAAGAACTGTCGTTAATGAACACTTCTTCTAATTGATACATGTTTATTCTGTGATTTATGTTAATTTGAAACATGTTTAATATTCAATCAACAAATATATCATAATTATGAAGTAATACTACTTACTAAGTTACTGATACTATGTATCGGAGCTGTACATGTGCATAATAGCATTGTATATCATATAAAATAATTAAGAATTTATGTAATGTTGAATATTTGCAGACTAATACACTTGTCGGAGAAGGTAACCAGACAGGTGCGTTTGCGGCGGCTAAAACCGCTAAAACTCTCACAATCGTCAGCGTCATTGTTGGCCTTGTTTGGATCCTTATTTGCATCATTGTGACAGCGACATCGGGTGGTTCCAGAACGTCATACTAATGGCAATCTGCGAGATGAAATTCGAAATCGACAATTGAAGTATTGATTCCGAAAAGTCCAAATAAAATTAAATAGATATATTGAGAAACAAACATTGTAAGGAAAGTGAATACATCTAGGACTTGTTAATACCTATTGTAATTTGTACACAAATTAGTCCCTATAATATATAACGGATTTCGTTCCAACAATGACTTGTGCCGAAGCGAAAAGGGATGTTCAACATTAAATACATTTGAATATAAACTTGTCATGATCTTCTCAATATTTAAATTAACTAATGTATTTATTTTGTTTATTTTTTTTAATAAATAAATTCATGTAAACGTTAAGTAACTTTGTTGTCTTTTACGACCTACTCTTTACACCAAAGACAAAACCATTCCAAATGACAATAAAATATCTCAACAGACGGTATGATTTTAAAGTACATGTGTACAACACCAATTAAATCTTAGATGTACAAACAAATCTTAATGTGTAAAGGCTAATATTTCTTGCATTTATACAACTTAAAACTAGTTTTACCGGATAGGATCCGGACATGTTCTATTTTTGGCCGGGTTGCACATGTACAAACCCGGGTTATAGTATGGTGACTGTTTGGCGGCGGGCGGTTAGCGGGCGGCAAGTGGTTGGCGGGGGAATAATTTTGTAACAGTTTTCTCAGCAACTACTAATCACAGCCTCTTTATATCTAGCATACATCATTTCACACGGTCCCATGCTGTGGGATTCGATTTCAGTCTCTCACAGTCTCGTTATATTTGGCATACAACATTAACTAATGGTCCCATGTAGTTGGATTTGATTTAAGATCTTTTTGCAAACCATTTTGGGTTTAAACCCAACCCTTTAGAAAAAATTTTCCAACCCATTAAATTTTTAAAGGGGAAAAAAAACTTTTTGTAAACTTTCACAGCCTGGATTTTTGGGTTTACAAATGCAACCCGGCCTTTTCTGTCCTTGACCCATTTTTTAAATCTTGTATAGGCCTCCCACGATGACATGTGACAGATTTTCCAATTATTCTCTGACAAAGTGTTTAATAAATGTGTGAAATTCCAGGAAATTAAGGGCTTAAATGTAATCTTAGAAGTAAGAGTAAAAAATATAATTTTTCACTGTGAGACTAAACTACAGAACATGTTTGATGGCGCTTAGTTATTTAACTCAATCCAGATCATGATAATTTCCTGAATGCTCCCTTCATAGATAGGCCTACCTCGTTGATCATTTTTTTTAATTGATTCAACAAATATTACATTTACACATATTCCAGTAATAATAGCGTCTCGTGCCTGAAATAATGCACGGAAGAGCACCTGAGGTCTTCCTCCACCAGTAAAGCTGGAACGTCGCGATATAACCAATACTGTGTCGATGTGACGTAAAACCCAAAAAAACAAACAAAACAAACAGTAATAATAGTGACTACATTTGGAGGGAACTGTTTTTGAGGGAAACAATACAATGTAGAACTACGATCTGAAAGCAAGTGCATGTGTACATCTTGTCTTAAAAGTATGATAAACAAGACCAACAAGAAAAGGCGGCGCCCAATGAACGCAACCCCTACACGACCCAGCAACAAGATCCGGTGGCAAGGAGCCCAGAAGGACCCCAAACAAAAACAGAAAAGGGCACAAGACAGAGCACGGACAGGCTTATCACTAAAACGATACATAAGGAAGAATTAATTTGAAACTGATAAGGAATTCAAATAAATGATTGAATACTAGGCCCACAAAGCCAAAGGGCACAGGGTAAGGGGATAGGAGATTTAGGGAAAGGGGAGGGGGAGTAAATTAGAGGAAAAAAACTAGAGGCAAAGGAGAAGATTCTTACCATAGACGAGAAAACAGCAAAGGACACAAACAAAAAAGTCACCAAAACAGTATGAAACAATAAAGACATACATCTAAGGAACATAGAGGGGCGCCGCCTTGAAACGGTCAGCAGAATAAGTACTACTCGAGAGTTTAAACCGGATAATTGTGCATCAAACCTCATTCTTAGCCCCATCGTGTTCCTATAAACGGGACAATGTGAATAAAATGAATCCCCGCCAAGTGCAATTCTAACAGTTGTTATTGTTACAAAAGGTTGAAATGAGTAAAACGCTCTTGTAAAAACATATAAAAGAAAACCCAATGGGCATAACAAAAGAACCCGATGTCCTAAAGCATGAATATTACCTACACGTGGCCGACGAATGAAGGCAGAAGACGAACATTAAGGCAATTCAGCCCCAAAGGGCTTTACGAAATTAGTGTTGTACAACTTAATCCTACCGTCTCTTGATGCATTGAGGAACCATTTCACCAATGTGATTTACAATGATGCAGTAATGTATTAAAATGGTAAAGTGAAGCTCATTTCAGATCTACATTTCACCTCATCTTATGAACATTTCTATTGGCAATAAAATTATGTAAATGCATCAGGAAGATCTCTTCTTAATGAACAGGCTCAATCAAACAGAGCCTGCAACATTTTCAATTTTGCCGCGTACATTATTGTTGTGCTTGTGGTATTTTAGTTCTTTCTTTTCGGCTATTTTCAAGTTGGGTGGTTCCAATATTCCTACTTGAATAATGTTGAATCACCCTTAGGATATGTTGCCTGCTTTTTAAATTTGTCTTTTGACGTCGTATCTGTGATATGCAGGCTTCATAACCTCTGATCCTCTTTCAAAATTCCATTTTATTTAGTTCCGCCCATTGTTTTCTCGTTTAGGGCAAAAGCATTTTTTTACTTGGGGACCATATGCCGCTTTTCATGGAATGGCATCAACGTGTCACATTGAAGGTTCCATGATAACCGCCATATGAACACATCTGCGGATGTTTCTAAATTCAAAATTTTACTATTTCATGTTTAAATTGTTTGAATTCTGCTTAAGCCGGTGCTAGGGGGCGTGGACGGTAGTTTTGCACTTTCCAGTACCGTCCATGAACAGGCTCAATCAAACCGAGCCTGCAAACATTTTCAATTTTGTCGTGTTGGGCTTTCTTTAGGGATTTTGTATTTATCTATTTATGGTCACATCCGTGTTATTTGTGCCGTGTGGCGGCTGTAAAAAGTCGCCCCGTACATTTAATCAATGATGTTATATTTTCGATCCTTGAAAGATCGTTCAGCACGACATTATTGTTGTGCTTGTGGTATTTTAGTTCTTTCTTTTTCGGCTATTTTCAAGTTGGGTGGTTCCAATATTCCTACTTGAATAAATGTTGAATCACCCTTAGGATATGTTGCCTGCTTTTTAAATTTGTCTTTTGACGTCGTATCTGTGATATGCAGGCTTCATAACCTCTGATCCTCTTTCAAAATTCCATTTTATTTAGTTCCGCCCATTGTTTTCTCGTTTAGGGCAAAAGCATTTTTTTACTTGGGGACCATATGCCGCTTTTCATGGAATGGCATCAACGTGTCACATTGAAGGTTCCATGATAACCGCCATATGAACACATCTGCGGATGTTTCTAAATTCAAAATTTTACTATTTCATGTTTAAATGTTGAATTCTGCTTAAGCCGGTGCTAGGGGGCGTGGACGGTAACTTGCACTTTCCAGTACCGTCCATGAACAGGCTCAATCAAACCGAGCCTGCAACATTTTCAATTTTTTCGTGTTGGGCTTTCTTTAGGGATTCTGTATTTATCTATTTTAGGGATTTTGTATTTATCTATTTCTTTAGGGATTCTGTTTTTATCTATTTAATGACAGCGATACTGAAAATACATGTATTTCTTTTGTTATATTGCATTATTGGGATCGTGTGACATATTTTAAACACCCTGCTTATCTTAAACGCAAAGTAAAGCCTGCAGGTATTATTCTGAGCGTAAAAGGGGCTTTCTAGACGAAAGAAATATCAAAGTTATTGAAAATTTTATTATATCAATCAACAAGTGTGTAAAGGCCCTGTCACACTAGACTGCGCTTTTACTGCTTTTGGACGGCGTTGTTAAATTTAAGAAAACGCCGCGAGATCGCAATAAAATATGTGATATTTTTGATGACATAAAGACTTCACGGAGTCCCCACAGCGATCATGGCGATGCAACGGAGCTTCAACGGCGTTTTAGTTGGCGAATGTCTACGTTCGGACTGCGCTTCTACGACGTTCTTTGCGCTCTCACTGCGCATTTACGGCGCTCACACTGCGCTGAAATCGTAAAGCTCCGTAAAAGCGCCATGCACACGCAGTATAAGCGCGGTAAAGACGCCGCACAACCTCCGTACAAGCGCCGTGGATAACCACGGCGTTCATTCGGCGTTCCTTTTGCGCTTTCCCGGCGCTCCTGTTGCGTTGTAGGAGATGCTACCGAGTTGTAACGGCGCCCTTACTGCGATCCCACTGCGCTCATTTTAGAACGCCGAGTGACGGCGTTTGTTTTGAGCATGTTCAAAATGCGCGCCGTCGGTCGGCGTTCTATGCGACGCCACAACGATGCTGTGGCGATGCTACGGCGATGTTTGCGATCTTACTACGCTCACCTCGGCGTTCTGAATTTTCTTTGGACGCCGTGAGAACGCCGTCCTAGTGTGACAGGGGTTTAAAAGACATTAAAGCACGTCAGAGACGAGCTGTAAAGTGAAGATCTGTTATAAAAATGATATTGATCGGACAGAAATAGAGTCAAATAAAAATCCCTAAAGAAAGCCCAACGCGGCAAAACTGAAAATGTTGCAGGCTCGGTTTGATTGAGCCTGTTCATGGTACTGTCAAGTGCAAACTACCGTCCACGCCCCCCTAGCACCGGCCAAAGCAGAATTCAACAATTATCATGAACTGGTAAAATTTAGAATTTTGAAACATCCGCAGATGTGTTCATATGGCGGTTATCACGGAATTTTCAATGTGATACTTTAGTGCCGTTCTATAAAAAGCGGCATATGGTCCCCATGTAAAAATGCGTGTGCCCTAAACGAGAAAACAATTAGCGGAACTAAATAAAATGAGATTTTGAAAGGGGGTCCGCGGTTATGAAGCCTGCATATCACAGACATCACAAGACAAATTTAAAAAGCAGGCTTCATATCTTTAGGGTGATTCAGCAGTATACTGGAACCACCCAACATGAAAGATGCCGAATACATGTAGATAAAACTAAAATACTTAAAGCGCAACAAAAATGTCGTGCTGAACGATCTTTAAGGATCGGAAATATAACATCCCTGATGCCCTCGGGCCTTTTATTCATTTGATGGGGCGATTATCAACTGCCAGCCATATCCTGGATTTGTTTGGGGTCCTCATGGGCTCCTGGTCCTTGTTGCTGGGTCATGTTGGGGTTGTGTTCATTGAACGCCGCCTTTCCTT